ATATCAGGCATTAACGGTTAGGGCGAATTATTTAGCTCAAGACAGATCGGACATACAGTATTAAGTAAAAGAACTTGCTAGGACCATGTCAAAGCCAACTACGGGTTCGTGGAAAGGTCTAGTCAAGCTAGGAAAGTATTTGAAGTATCACAGCAGAAGCAGTTACGTGTATCAGTATCAAGAGCAGCCTCGAGAGTTGACGATTTGGACAGACACAGATTACGCAGGATGTAAACGAACTAGGAAGTCTACGAGTGGAGGAGTAGTGATGTGGGGTAAACACCTTATAAAATCTTGGAGCACAACTCAAAGTGTAATTGCATTATCGTCAGGGGAAGCAGAGTATTACGGCCTTGTGAAAGGAGGATCAGTCGGACTGGGACTTCAGGCAGTGTTGAGGGATTTTAACTTGGAAGTTGAGCTCGCCTTGAAAAGTGATGCCACGGCTGCAATCGCGATTGCGAGTAGACGAGGTTTAGGAAAAGTAAGACACATTGAAGTATGTCAACTGTGGCTGCAGCAGAAGGTAAAGGAGGGAGTGATTCGAATTGCGAAAGTGGGTACTCATGAGAACGTAGCAGATGCATTAACCAAGTATGTCAGTCGTGAAAGTATGAGCACACATCTGCTAAACACAAACCAAAGCGCATTAACAGGTCGGCACAGCCTTGCGCCGGCCACCGAGTGTTGACATCCGCAGCTCATTTCTGTCAAGCAAGCTGTCTTGATTAAAGCTTCCTCCATCCTTTACCTCTTTCCCTCGAGCGTGAACGAAAGCATGGCGGACCAGCAAGTCAACGTCACGATCAACGGCGCGGCGGTCGACCAGAGCCCGCCTGGGGCAGGGCCGGTTACGCGCGAGAACCTCAATCGCCGCGTCGACGATATCGTCAACGTGGCTCATGCGTTCACCGTGACCCTCACCAACATGGCCATTAACTTCCACGGGGCCTATGATAAGCACGTTGACGAGATGCAGAAGGTCGCCGATGATATGGCGCGGAGGATCGTTGACTTAACGCAGCAGAACACCGCGTTGGTTCACGCCAACGACGATGTCAACGAGAACCTCAAGAGGGCGCAGGACGAGGTTAACAACCTTGTGGCGATGGTGACAGAGTTGAACATCAAGAATCGCGACTCGGAGGTTAACACGGCGGAGAATGCAACCAAGTACCGGCGCATTAACGAAAATATGGGTTGCCCCTTGATTACCGCCAGGCGCCTTACCGAGAATATCACGCCCCTGCAGGACCTCGAAGGTAAACGTGATGCGGCGCTACGTATTCTAATGGGAGTTACCGAGAGGCTTGAGGGTTTGCAGAAGTTCTTGGATGACCCGATCAACTCCTCGGTTACCGATATTCCGCCGGCGCCGCCGCCGTTGCCTTGGTCGCCCCCGACGGCAGCGCCCGCCAAGGCGCCACCCGTTGCCGCCACCGCGGCAGCCGGGCCCATGGCCACGGGCGCGCCCCCAGCGCAGCAGGTCAACGTGGCTCCGCCAGGCAAGGCCCCCCCTACTCAGGACCTGGCCGGCGCAACCGCTAAAGCCGGGGGGAGTCGGCGGTCCGCGTCACCGAACAAGATTCGAGCGTCATCGTTGAGCCGGCAGGGCGGTGAAGAGCCACAGCCTGCTTACAAGCGGGCGCCGAAGGCCATGCGTGAACGTCAACGGGAGCTGGAGGAGTTGATGCAGATAGGCATGAAGATGGACGAGGATCGAACGGTTGGTGGTCAACGTGATGAGGCGCCAAAGGATCCTGCTCCCGTCGTAAACGCGAGGCCGGCCAAGCCGCCCCCTCCGGGGCTCGGCGAGTCCAGAGCGGCAAGCAGCGTTACCGGCGTGAAGCCCCCGCCTCCAGAGGCCAAGAGGTTACCGTTCCAGCACGTCCCGCCACCGCAGCCTCAGGTCGTTAACCGCACGACTGATCAGGTTGAGAGGCACTCCAGGATCGTCGCCAAGGACACCATTTACCGCCCGCTGTACCACGTCAACGGTCGCATGTCCATGCTGAACAACAGGAGCGACGACTACGACGTTAACTTTCGGGCGGAACCTGATCCCAGGGAGGTGGTAGCCTTAACGATGAAGACACGTGATAACTGGCGCAAGTTTGAGGGTGACTTCGTCGGGCACGTGGCGAAGGCGGGGTTAACGACCCCTGGCGGCAGGTCCATTCAGGGCAACACCGGGCGGGAGCTTAACGATTACGAGGACGTGTTCGTTGACATCTTCGGCCAACACGCTTACGGTTTCATCGGCTATGCCGTGTTGAAAGGTCCGATCAGCTGGAGGTCTCAGTTAACGGACAAAGAGTTGGCCAAGCATGATGAATAGGTTGACGCGGTTGGGCACGTGCAGTCCCTATTTGACGATGACTACGTGCCACCGCTCCACCTTAACGAGCTTCACCCATCGCGGTTTGAGCACCACAGTTGCGCGGACACGCAAGTGCACGTCAACGAGGTGCCGGAGATGAACGAGAAGCAGCTTAACGGCCTCCTCTTAACGTGGGCAGGAATGCTGCCCCACGGCAACCCCACCGTGATCTCCGTTAAGCACCTGGTGGAGGACACCCATGGGCCGCACGGTTACATCTCGACTGGAGTTACCGTGATTCGCTTTGCGACGCCCGATCTTGCCAGGCTTTACTGCCGTTGCATGAACGGGCTCCAGGTGCACTACCGCAACTACTACATCGACTACCTCGAGGTCAGGAGCACCGCGGAGTTCAAGGGCAGGATGAGCAAGCCTCCAGTCTACTGGCACCAGACCGTCTTGGAAGTTGCCCTTAACGATCAGGGATCCATGAGGGCACTTTACCGTGATAATTGGCCGGCCGATCATGTCACCGAGCGTAAAAGCGATCACCGTGAGAAGCTTTGCTGGTTTGGCTGGTTACCGTGCGACGACTTCCCCAACTGGCTTACCGATCCGGCCTGGACTGTGAACCCGTTTACCGGCGCTGCGGTCGAAGAGCACCTCCGTAACAATCCAGGCGATGGGCCTCTGTTAAAGGCTCCCCACGCCAGTTACTGGAGAGCCATCGGCACTTACCACAACATCGTTGACGGCTCAATCAAGAGCCACGATGAGGGGTGCTGGCTTGACGACGAGGAGCGCATTAACGCGTACATGGACAACGATTACTACAACCAGATGCAGGCCCTTAACAGGGCGTCGTCCAACACCGCAGCCGGCGTGGGCCATCGCGGGCTACCGAGGTCGAGGGGTTCACGGGCCCCGTCGGCGAGGCGCCCGCGCCGTCCGTGAAAGATGGCAGGCAGTCAACATGCTGCAGTTCACGCTCTTCCTCATCTCCCCTCTTAACTTGGCTTAACGATCGAGTGGCAGCAGCCTGTTGAGCTGAGTTTGTTTGCATGCGCATCTCTTGTTGTTACCGCAGGTATTGGCGAATAAAAAGCGAAAGCAACCAAAATCATCCAAATGCTAGCTTGCTGTGTAAACTTTAGATGCTTCGTTTGAACTTGTGACAGTAAAAGCGTTTACTCGAGCTCAGGTTACATGTGTGAGAAACTTGGTGCTCGTAAACGCCGTCACGAGACATTTCGAATTCAACAGTGTGATGAAGAGACTTGAGGCTTAACGTCATTTGCGTGCGACGTTTTGTCTAGCTTGACCTGTTTTCGTGATTGTTGACGCCTCCCCGTCAGCCTATACGGACTAGCGTCCGAGGGGGGTGTTAACATGTGAGCATTCAGGTGACTGGGGAGTGAAGGTGTCCCCGTTACCGTTTGGCTCAAGTATTTAACGGCTGAAGCTACCGAGACTTGCTTCGCCGTGCTGAGGTAAAAAGGTGACCGATCGTCATCGCTGTCACCGAGCTCCCGTGCAGAACCCTCCTCGGGGTTTTGCAGGGGCGGAGGAGTAGGACAGGAGGAGAAGGGGGGAGGGAGGAGGAGGAGGAGGAGGAAGAGGAGGAGGAGGAGGAGGAGGAGGAGGAGGAGGAGGAGGAGGAGGAGGAGGAGGAGGAGGGGAGGAGGAGGAGACGGAAGAGGAGGAGGAGGTGGAGGAGGAGGAGGAGGAGGAGGAGGAGGAGGAAGAGGCGGACAGGAGGAATCGTGACGCGCGGAGTCTTCTTCAGGTTGCCATCCTTCAGCGTGAGCGCATTCAAGGCAACCGTTCCCTTCTGAGACACATTCTCGATCGGGTTTTTTTTTGGGCAGCCAGCCATGAACGCGCCCCAGTTGATCCTGCAGGTTGCGGGCTTGTTGGAACTGGCGCCGCGAATTCAGTACCTGTATTGTGTTGTTACGCCTTGTGACATGTATGTTTGGACGAAGTTTTGAGTTCCTGTTCTTCCCCTTCATTTTCCCCTCTTTTTCCTTGCTGTTGGTTTCGGGCGGTAGCTCACACCCCCAGGCCGCGCACTCATTGTATCCCCCTTTTCCGATTGTTTCGTGTTCACCCTTCCTCCTCCCCATCCGTACCGCCCTTTCCGGGGTGAGCGCATTGAAGCACCAGGCGGACTGCCGCATACTATGGCCTCCCCACAGGGTGTTGAGGAGTACCTCCCGACGCCCCTCCGTGGCACGTCGTGCAAAGGAAGCCCACACGCGTACCCCCCGTGGCCACGCGCAACACATCCAGGCGCGGGTTGGGGCTGCGGTTCAACGAGGTGGTTGAATGGGGAGGAGGAGGAGGAGGAGGAGGAGGAGGAGGAGGAGGAGGAGGAGGAGCAGGAGCAGGAGCAGGAGCAGGAGCAGGAGCAGGAGCAGGAGCAGGAGCGGGAGCAGGAGCAGGAGCAGGAGCAGGAGCAGGAGGAGGAGCAGGAGCAGGAGCAGGAGCAGGAGCAGGAGCAGAAGCAGGAGCAGGAGCAGGAGCAGGCGGAGGCGGAGGTGGAGGTGGAGGTGGAGGGGGTGGAAGGTGGGGGGGGTGGAAGGTGGGGGGGGGAAGGGGAAGATCGACATGGCAGGTGTGAGGACGCTCTCCCCCCTGTTGCGCTTTCTCTGCTGTCTCGCCCCGCATCCTGGGCGAGGTGGCGACGCGCCGAATGGCCAAGTGGCTGCGGGAGATCAGGCCGCGATGGGGGGAGTGAACAGGAAAGAGGAAGAGGGAGAGGGAGAGGGAGAAGACAGGAAGGAAAGGAGGAGATAGGAGAGGGAGAGGAGGGAGAGGGAGAGGGAGAGGGAGAGGGAGAGGAGGGAGGGAGAGGGAGAGGAGGGAGAGGGAGAGGGAGAGGAAGAGGAGGAGGAGGAGATAGGGAGGAGGAGAGGGAGAGGGAGAGGGAGGGGGAGAGGAAACATAATGAACATGATGAAGAGGAGGAGGGACAAGGAATGAGGGATGACGGAGACGGGCGAGGAGCAGGAGGAGGCGGATGACGGGGAGGGAAGGAGCAGGAGGAGGAGGAGGAGGAGGAGGAGGAGGAGGAGGAGGAGGAGGAGGAAGAGGAGGAGGAGGAGGAGGAGGAGGAGGAGGAGGAGGAGGGGGAGGAGGAGAGATGATGATGATGATGATGATGATGATGATGATGATGATGATGATGATGATGATGATGATGATGATGATGATGATGATGATGATGATGATGATGATGATGATGATGATGATGATGATTGATGATGATGATGATGATGATGATGATGATGATGATGATGATGATGATGATGATGATGATGATGATGATGATGATGATGATGATGATGATGATGATGATGATGATGATGATGATGATGATGATGATGATGATGATGAGGAGGAGGAGGAGGAGGAGGAGGAGGAGGAGGAGGAGGAGGAGGAGGAATCACCGGAGGAGGAAGAGGAGGTAGGAGGAGAGAGGAGAAAGACACGGGAGGAGGAGGAGGAGGAGGAGGAGGAGGAAGAGGAGGAGGAGGCGCCCGCCATCGTCGGCTCCGTTGCATGTGATGCATGCGATCTCTCTATCAGCCCCGCGACTCATGCCTTAACCCCCCAACCCCCTGGCCGGATTTCTTTTCTTCTTTCCGCGAGGGGTCAACCTTCGCGGCGACCCGTTAACCCCGGGACCCCTGGCGGCGCATGGATTCCTTTCCTTCTTCCGCGCGCGAGTTGCCACTGGAACCCCTGAACCCGTGACCCGTCCGACTACCGTACAACTAGTACTTGAGTACGACTGGTACTCTCATGTACTAGCGCGCAGTTGCTCCAAGAGAGCACACTGTCTTGCCGTGCAAGTATTAGAGTGCAACTGGTATCAGATTACAACTGGTAGAACTACAATTCCATAGTACAAACCCCTAGTACTAGTACAACTCCCTGGTACAACTCCTTAGTACAACTCCCTGTTCCCTATTACTAGCATAACTCCCTAGTGCAACCACTAAAAGAGTGTTGCTGCATTGCACATACAATCTGGGCTCTCACGCTCTTCCTCTGGTTGCGCCGGGGGGGGGACCCCTCGCGCGGGCACCCCCGCGGCTGAGAATTCATTCCTCTTCCGGAATTTGAGGCGGGGGTAACCCCCGTGCTCGAACCTCTCGCCAGGGATTCTTTTTCCTCCGCGGAAACTGGACCCCCTGGGTTCTTGGGCGCGCTCCAGAAGTTCTTTCCTTCCGGATGGGCCCCCATGGGTCCTTCGCTGGAGTCGCGGGGCTGATATCTCTCTTGTGAGGTATGCCCGTATGCTCTAAGTCTCACTTTCTTTGTCTTCTCGTTGTTCCTCACCTTGCTCATGTTCCTGCTCCTGTATCTTCCTCCCTTTCCTCCCTTCCCCCCATCACTCTCCCCCTCCGCCTCCTCACTCCACTTCAAGCCATCATCAACAACAACATCAACATCATTAGCGTCAGCATCAGCAGCATCAGCATCATTATTTAATCGCTTCGCTCATTCCGCCGGCCCGTATTGTGCCATCGCAGACGTTTGCTTGCGCGTTCGTGGCCTCTTGGAGCCTCGTTGGGGCCGTTTGGGACCTCTTGGCGCCTCTTTTTAGGCCTCTTGGAGAACTCGGGAGGCCTCCAGGGGGCCTCCTGAGCTCTCGTGACGGTCTCTTGGGGGGCTTTCGGCGGGCTCTTGGCGGTATTTGTTGGTCCTCTGAGGGCCTGGGGCCTGACGTTGTTGGTCCTTTTGGGGCCTCACGGGAGCTTATTGGGGCGTCTTGGGGGTGTCTTGGAGAGTCTCTTAGGGCCTCTTTCGGGGTCCTGGGCGCCTTCTGGGGCGGAGGGCCCGATTTTTCAGTTCTCGGTTCCCTTCTTGAGCCCCTCTTGGGCCCGTCTTGGGGCCTCTTGGTCCGCCTTGGGCGGCACTTGGGCCGTCTGGGGGGCGCTCTTGGGCCGCTCCGGGGCCGTCTTGGGAGCCTCGTGGGCCGTCTTGGAGCAGTCTTGAAGGCCTCTTGGGCCCTCTTGGAGCGTCCGGAAGCGAAAAGGCCAGAACGCAAAAAAACATCGAAAAAACCAATGAAAATCAACGATTTTGGCAACTTGGGGCCCTCTTCGGAGGCCTCTTGGAAGGCCCTTGGAGCGTCTTGGAGGCCTCTTGGGCTGTCTTGGGGCCATCTGGGGCGTCTTCGGGCGATCTTTGGCCGTCTCGGGCCTCTCTTGGACCGTCTAGAAAGCTTCTCGGGGCCCTCTTGGACCGATCTGGAGCCCTCTTGGACTCCGAAACAGAACTCCGGCATCTCTGGCCCGGCCTTGCCGGGACCTTGCCGGGGACTTGCCGGGGACTTGCCGGGACCTTGCCGGGGTACTTTTCGTCCAGGGACCCCCAGGGGCCGCCCCGCGCGCGCGAACTAGAAATATTGTTAACCAGGTACCGGAGATCTTAGCACGCCCTGGCCCGTTGGGCCGGCGAATTATCAGCATCATCATCAGCATCATCATCAGCAACAGCAGAAGCATCATCATCACCATCGTCATCACCATCATCATCACCACCATCATCACCACCATCACCACCACCATCACCATCACCATCATCATCACCACCATCACCATCACTATCACCATCACTATCACCATCACAGCATCATCATCACAGCATCATCATAGCATCATCCTCATCATCATAGCATCACCACCGTCACCAACCTCAACAGCAACAACATCAGCAACAACAGCATCGGTTTCACATACTATTGGCCGGTTCGCTTCGAGCTCCGCATGCTTTTCTTCCCAACAGCATGTCGCGCGTTGCAGAGCGCCCGTCGGCCTCGACCCCAGAGCCTGACGACGAGGAGGAGGAGGAGGAGGAGGAGGAGGAGGAGGAGGAGGAGGAGGAGGGAGGAGGGAGGAGGGAGGAGGGAAGAGGGAGGAGGAGGAGGAGGAGGAGGAGGATGGAGGAGGAGGATGGAGGAGGATGAAGGAGGAGGAGGAGAAGGAGGAGAAGGAGGAGAGGAAGGGACGGAGGATGGAACAGGGAGGAGGAAAGAAGTACGTCGGGGCGAGTGGGATGGGGGAGGTGGAAGAGGGTTGAGGATGTTCGGGAGAATTAGCAGTTTGCTGGGGGGTAGGAGGAGGCAAGCAGGTGGGCAGGTGCGGGGGGCTCTGGACTGCTTGGCCGAAGGTGGGAGGAGTCAGGAGGAGGACGACGACTGGAGTAAACCCAGGATGCACCAACAATGTTGCAATGCGCCCTCCAGTCGCAAGTCCCCTCCTCATAAATCCATGCAAGGATTCCTGCCACCGCGGGAAGCGTCCACCTTGAATGACGAGCGCCTCTTGGACTTGTCACTCTGGCGAGACCCCTCCCGCACAGAGGTAGGACGATAGTGCTCAAGGATGTGTCCAGCGATAGTCCTGTGTTGAAGAGGATCTGCCCTTCACCCGTGTAGTTGCACAATTTGGAAGGAACATCAGGCCACTGAGCGCGAGGAAGTCTTAAGCGAGAGCCACATAGTACAAAGAAACCGTTCTCCACCCTTGCAACTGATACACTTCATTGTTCTGGTGATACTCTTTACGGAAGTATCACGCGAGAGCCCCATTTTGAAAAAGAGCCGCCCTCCATGCGTATAGTTGTTGCACACTTGTAGTTTTGTGTCGTAGAGTGCCAGGAAGTCTTGAGCGAAAGCCACATGTCGAAAACGAACCGTCCTCCGTCCTTGTAACGGGTGGAAAGTTTGATAACGAATGCGCGCGGCGCTAAGGCGAGAGTTGCATTTTGAAAGCCGCCAGCTGTCCATCCTCCGTCCTGCAGGCCCCCCCCCCACCCACGAAATTTTGCACCTTCCTCCGACGCATACTCACCTGAATTGCTCGTGCAATTTGTGGCGAGTGCCATTACGCCTCCTGCCCTCTGCTGTGCTGGGTTGTCTCATCAGTTATCGGTCGCGACCTCGCTCAGACTCGCCCTCCCAGCGGCTGGGGTGTCCTTGCTCCGTCTGTCGAGGTCGTTGAAGAGGTCGACGATGCATTTGAGATTTTTTGTGTTTTGAGGTTTTCTCCGCGCCCCATCCCACACCAAGTGCAGTCGGTTGCTCCGGCAGTACTGTGGTCGGTCCGCATGTGTTCTCGGTTTGGGGCGGATCGTGAGATGTCACACTGCTCTGCTGGCACGCTCGTGCCATGTATGACTTGTTCATTCCTTCCCCGCGTCGTGCTTCTCTTATTGTTGTTGCTGCCACTCTTTCTCCTGATCACATTACGTGTCTTGTGGAATGGGATCATCTTTCGCCCTATCCTCTTGACTTTTCGCCTGCCTCCTGGTCGTGCTGCTCCTCCTCCACTTGGAGTAAAGTCTGCGGAGTGATCCCTTCGGCCCACGCCGGTGATCCAAAGGGGCGGCGACCCTGGTGGTAATCCCAGCAGTACCGCCGCAGACCGCGACATCCCCAGACAGCCCGAACCCCTTCCAGGATCTGTTCTTCCTCCTCCTTTTCTACCCTCTGCTATCCCCATATTACTTGGACTCTCTCTTCTCGCCCACTTACAGTCAACCCGCACAGTAAGGATGAGCAACTTTCCAAGGTTACCCGTGCATCCCTCTCCTGCGGCCCATCCTTGGCCGCTCTCGCTGGCCGCGCCCCCCTCGCATAGTGTCGACGTGGCCCTCCAAGGCCCT